TACCAATAAATCGAGTTTTTGACGCGCTTTAATTTGGTATAAAATACATTTGTAGTATCATTGATGTCCAGAAAGTTTTCTTGAATGATATAACTCATCGGAATTTTGTTGTTTTTTCGTTCGTTCTATTTCTCTTCGTTTCTTGTGATGACCTTCAAAATGCGACGAAGAGCAAAAGCGAAAGTGTAACATTTGTTGACGTTTGACAGCCTATATCAAAAGAGATTCATGGCAAATGTGCTGTTTAATATTCAATAGAAAAACACTAGGTGATATGTTCTTTTTTCTCGATCGATTTGCGTATGAATAGTTGAATGGTAAACGCATCAGAACAATGCATAAAATATGGCGTGGAAAGTCAAACTATTCTGTAAAGATTATGATACAAGAAAAACTTGTATATCTATATTGAAAAATGAAGTGACATGGGGAATTATCCTTATTATTTGTTGTGCTATATCATTATTAATTATCTGGTTAGTAAATTGTCCTGTTGAATGGCAAAAATATAAAGATCCTATTCATGGACAAAGTGTTCTCGCTATTATTGGTGGAATATTTGCTCTCGTAGCTACGGGCATGTCATTTGTACAGATTCTTCAACATTTTCGACATAAAACACATCATCAATCACAAAAACGTATTATGCGTATTTTAACTTTGGTACTACTCTATGCTATCACATCATGGATTTCAATATTATTTTGTATTTCTGCTATTTATATGGATTTTATTAAATCTTGTTTTGAAGCTTATATTATCTATAATTTTCTACTTTTATTAACAAAATATCTCGGTGGTCATCGTGGTGTTGAACAGGTAATTATAGCACAAGAAAAAATTTACTTACCATCTCCATTTTGTTGTCTTAAATTACGACTACATATTAAATGGGTTTGGTATTTTAAATTTGGTCTTTTACAATATACATGGATCAATCTAATATGTTCAGCTATTGCTGTTGTTCTTAATCTTGCTGATATTTATGATAATGGTAAATGGAATTTTAAACGTGAGTGTGGGTGTGGGTGTGGGTGTGTGTGGGTGTGGGTGGGTGTGGGCGTGTGTGGGTGTGGGTGTGGGTGTGGGTGTGGGGTGTGTGGGTGTGGGTGTGGATGTGGGTGTGGGTGTGGATGTGGGTGTGGGTGTGGATGTGGGTGTGGGTGTGGATGTGGGTGTGGGTGTGTGGGTGTGTGGGTGTGGTTTGGGTGTATGTGTAATGAAGTGTGGATAACAGTTAGAAACCCACACCC